CGGGTCGGGTCGCTTGCTGCCGTGTTTGCCGAGTGCGCGGTCGGGCAGGGACACGGGTGGTCTCTAAAAGTAAAAGGGAGAGAGAGGTCTGTCCGGGTCCGGCTCTCCCCAGCCGCCTGCGACAGCCTGCGCCCGGGGTCCTGCCCTCTGCTGATGGTGCACGCGCCTTCTCCGGCAAAAAACAAGAGACGTGTTGGTTTTTTTTTATTTATTTATTTTTGTCGGAGAAACATAGGGTAGGAGCGTCATTTCCCGGCTGTCCGTGGAGCTGGCAGCTCATTTCGCGGTAGCGAGTGCGGAAACGCCGGCAGCTCTCGGACACGCGGGCGCGCTCCCCCACACACACACGCACACACACACACGTGCACGCGCGCCGGTGCGTGCGAAGCAGGACCGCTGATTCACGGCGCCCGGGTCAGCTGACTGCAGCCGCTCGCACGCACCGGGGCACCAGGCCAGACAGACCCCCCCCCCCCTTTTATTAAAAAAACAAACATTTTTTTTTATTACACGTATAAAGAATGAACACATAGAAATAGAGCCAGTGGAGCAGAAACAGGTACAAGAGAAAAAAAACGCCAACAGATAGACAATTAAACCGCCGGAGGTCATGAAGTAAATAATAATTATAATAATTCCTTACACTTATATAGCGCTTTTCTGGACACTCCACTCAAAGCGCTTTACAGGTAATGGGGATCCCCTCCACCACCACCAATGATGGCATTTACCCAGAATGACTAATAAATGTACTATAAATAAATGCTCTTTTTGCAAGTTTTCTATTAAACAGTACAATAAAATATCAAAATCTTTCAATCTAAGAAAGCACCTGTAACTGCCTGCAAGTCCGTCCAAAACAACTCCGCAAACCTACACCTCACAAATAAACGCGCCCGAGACTCCCTGTCAGCCCCACAAAAAACACACAGAGCTTTCACACGATGAAAGCTCGTGCTTTCCTTTAGAGAGCGCTCATTTAACTGGCGTCAAACCTCCAGCCCCCCGGGGCTCGGCCGCAGGGGCTGGTCTGCAGAAGGCGCGTTTGTGAGCATGCCCGGACGCGCCCAGCTCTGGGCAAGCGCCGGTGTGGAACCAGCTGCCCAGCCCTGTTGTCCAAGCCGATAGATACCCCGGCTCCTCTCGGGACTCAGCTGGAGGAGCTCCTCCGGTCCGGACAGCAGGTTTCGCTGTACACAGAGGGGGGTGGGGGTGTGGAACAAACTGCCCAGCCATGCCGTTGAAGCCGGTTCCCTGGTTTCTTTT